CCCCGCCACCCCAGGCTATCACATGGCATATGCAGACCCCTAGCTGAGCACAAGCTGCTGTCTGGAAACCCTCAGAGACCACTTTTCAGAATTGCACTGGTCTCCGACAGCCAGGCCCTGACCTCAAGCCCCATACAGAGAAGCCACTCACACGTCATCCGGCGACTTGGCAAATTGGCTGCCTCTGCACAGGGCAGTCTGGAGGTTAAGCCAGGGTTGCTGACAGTTCGCCACCTGGCCTGGTATCCAGACCCTTGGAAGGAGACACCAGCTGTCAGATTGAGGGCTGGGAATAGACTGTCTCTCGGGTACACTGGCTTCCCTCAGGTGGAGAAGGCAGGGAAGGGCATTGCAAGCAGAGGGAATAGCCCGAGGAAATGTAGGAAAGAAGTCAGAGAGCATGGAGAATGACAAACACAGGGTAGCTAGATGGCAGAGCCTGGTCCTGGCCATGTAGGGTGCCAACGCTAGGCCAGTGGAGCCGCAGGGTGTGACAGAGATAATTCCATGTGAAGGCTGGTAGAAGGAGAGCATGGGGGTGGGGCAGGAGTTTGGTGACAGATGTGAAGCCTACACTGCTCCTCTGCTCATTGGCCCCTGCACATCCCCCTCCAGGTCTTAACCTGGGCTTTTCCCTCATCCTGAAATCACTCACTCACACACACACACACACACACACACACATTTTTATGTACAGATTGGCACTATTCCATTATCAAAGCAGCTCCCTAATCTTTCCTAGGCCCCCCAAAGCTGGGCAGGCATGCTCTCTGCTCTGAACCAGCACACCCTTTATCCAGCTGCCCACTCACCTTCTACACAGCATCATACCTATTTGCACACAGGTTATCTTCCCAGCTCTGTGTCCTTGGTTTGATTCAGCACACACTGTGAGGTCCAGGCTCTGTATGAGCTATGGAGTCACAGAGGCATCAGTCAGACTCTTTTCCTGAGCCCAATGAGGAAGACTCGTGTGGACTGCACATTCCAATACATTGTGTTACCTGCGAACGTTAGACTGTGCTGGACACAGGGACAGATGGCCTGAATCCAGGGAATAAGGAAGCCTAGAGGGCTTCATGGAAGAGGAGATAGTGGCACTGAGGATGCACAAAGCAGGAAGGGATGCCCAGCAGGTGCCATGTGTGCAAAAGTTCAGACATGGTGGATACCTGGAATGTTTACTGGGGTTCAGGGTCAGGTGTGTGCAGGTGGAAGGAAGGGTGGGGGGAGAAGAATAGGGGGATAAGCAGGGATCAAATGGACTTGGTAAGCAGGACCCCCATTGCATTCTCCACTCACACAGAGATGGAGGTCTGCAAGGCTCACACAGAGTAGCCACTCGCATGTCATCCAGGGACTTGGCAAATTGGCTGCAAAGTCAATTTGGATGGTCAAATGAAGAGGAGGCTCCTGTCCCTTTGCATACACCACAGCAGCCCCAGATGTCCTTAAGGCGTCCTTGTGTTATGTGACTTCTCAAAGCTTTTGCTTTCCCTGCAAAGGCCACAGCAATGCGGGAAACTAAAGGAGACTGTGTCCTCAGGACTCCGCTGGTTACCTGGGAGAGCAGCACAGTTCAAGCTGGGGAAAAAGTGTATTAGCTCCAAACTGAAGAGTACAGGGCTAGTTCCCACTTCAGGCCACATGCCCTCTCTTTCTCTCTGACTCTGCTGTGTTTTCCTCTCTGCTGCCTCCTTCTCAAGCCGCGTGGTAGCCCCCAGCTCCAGGAATAGCCCCGTGAGGAGAGAAGAGCCCTGTTTTCCCTAAAGCACCACATTGGAAGTTCCACATAAAGCACTCATTGGCTCAGCGTGTGCTCATCCCTGAGTCAGGCACCTGGCTGGCCGAGGGAACATGGTCACATGCCCACCCTAGAGCCACAGGTGGGTCAGCCTCACCCACATTCATGGACTGAGATGAGAGGTGGACTATAGAGAAGAATGAAGCTCTGTTGTCAACAGAGGGGATTCTGAGCGACAAATAATGGAGATGTCTCCACCCCACCCCAGTCCCCACGAAAAACAGGCAGACCCTCTGACTCAAACCAGACCTTGTTTTCTTATCAATACAAATGCATCTACATCATTAAATGTTGAGAACATGGTATTCTTATTCCACGTGTGACTTTGCTCTCTCTCCTTTCCAGGGACCATTGGGTCTGGATGGCAAGCCTGTAAGTGATGCAGGTGGTGCAGATGGTTCTATATAGTCCCAGGATTCTGGGATGGGGTGGCCACAACAGGGCTGGAAGGGACCATGCGGTACCAGTAGGAAGGGTCCCCTCAAACAGCACAGAGAAAAGCCACTCTAGAGTCTAATCTGAGTTCAAATACAGTTCCACCACTTGCTGACTATGTAGCCTTGGGTAGACCTCTTAAGCCTGAGGCTTCTCGTCTATCAAATCGGACTTGCTCAGAGGAATGAATGTGGAAGTCTGTGGTTGACACAGTCCCTGGTATCTAGTTATCCCTCAAAAATCATGAGCCACTCCCAGCAGGCCCCAGGTGTGGAGTGTCCCTCAGAACATTATCAAGATATGGATGGTGGGCATCAGGCTGAGGAGTTCTCGACACCTGGACTGGGAGCCTGTGGTCCACAAGCATACTCAGCAGAATGAACAAGATGTACAGGAAGGAATAATCATAACTAAGTAAATAACTGAATGTGGATAGATGAGTGGATGGACGGACAGACAGATGGGTGGAAGAATGGATGGATGGATAGATACATAGATGGATGGAAGGATAGGTGGATGGTTGGAAGGATAGATGAATGGATGATCATATATGGAGGGATGGATGGATGTGGATGGGTGGAAGGAAGTGGGATGGGTGGACAAATGGATGGGTGGATGGATAGATAGATGAATGCATGGATGAATGGATGGATAGACAAATGGACAGATGGGTGGATGGGTGGATGGACAAAAGGATGGATAGATAAAAAGACAGATTGATGATCAAATAAGGTAAAGAATTAATCATTGTACAAATAATTGGATGTATGGAAGAGAAGGAGAATTAGTGGGTAGATAAATACATCGTATTTAGGCAGATGAATGAAGAAATTAATAAAGTGACAAATGATTGAAGAGTTAATTGATGACGTGTGACTTAGTAAAGGAAGGAAAGAAAAGACTGATTATCTGGAGAGATGAGTTGTTTAATGACTGAATGAGCCAATCAGTTCCTGGCTGAAGGGAAGATGGATGGTTTAGGAGGGATAGAAGCCAGCAAGCAAGTCAGTCCCTGACTCTGCATGCTAGCCCCAAGCTGCCAGCCTCAGCCTGCCCCTACCCCAGGGCCTGGCCTTCTTCCCCAGAAATGCTGGTCACTTGGTGGGATTGAGACACATTTCCCTACAGCCAGAGTGACTGCAGCCACCGTGGCCTGCATGGAGCTGCTGCCCCCTCCACACTTACACACCAGACCCCTAGGGACTGCTGCCCTGTTGGAGGATATTCATCTCAACACAGAGTCTCAATCCACCCACTCATGGACTAGTAGGCTCATGGATGACACAGAGGTGGGGGCCTCTGTGCTCTGGGAGGAGTGACTAGCACATGTGCTAACTGGGAAAATACTCCTTTCCCTACTGAGAGGATGCCAGTGAGTCCTTGCTGGGGAACCCCAAATTCCCTATCTCTCTCATGCTGAGGGACTGAGCTGTCAGCCTGCCTTGGGGCCTCTAGGGCTTCCAGGCTTGTGTATAACTTTCCACATGACTGCCCACAGCTCTGCTCAGCATCTCAGGCCCTTCTGTCCTCCAAGTATTAGGGAAGCTGCAAGGGGAACCAGCCTAGTCTTCCTTACTCACACCTGTGCTTTCTCCACCTTCCTTCTCCAGGGACTTCCAGGCCCCAAAGGAGAAAAGGTAAGTGATATTGGAGTCTGTCAGCTGCAGTCGGCTAATGAAGGACACCAGTAATTTCCTGCAAATCGATGTTCCGGAGTGTGACCTGGGGCAAGTCATATACCCTCTTAGAGGTTCAGTTTTCCCATCCGTAAAGTGGGGCTAATCTTACCCATCCCCTAAAATGGTTATAAGGCTTTATTTGATAATATAAAGTACCCCGGGTGTTGAACCTGCATTCTCCTGGCACCAGAGTATAACAAAACCCAGAAGGCACAGTCTGCCTAAATGACAAGTCTCCAAAGTAATTAATCATGAAATGGGGCTGCCAGGAGAACCTGGAGGATCGACCAATGACTCCTAATGGTATTCTTTGTGGGGAGGACACCCATCAGGGTAACAGATGTCAAAGAGCTGCCACTGGGATTTTTGCAGACCCTGGTGACATTTGGCACTCAAAGTCACGGGCAGCCCTTTGGAGGGGTGGGGCTGATGGCCCTGGAAGAGTGCATGAGAGAGGAGAGACCTGTGTGTCCCACAGAGGGGCAGTGTGCTCCACTGGCTGGAGCAGAGCCTGGTGCAGCAGGGCCAACCAGACACTTCCAGGTTAGGGCTGGGCCACCTCCACCCCCAACCTGGGATTTGGAAATGGGACAGAGGGACTGCTGCCCTGTTAGAGTGGATGCGTCTCGAGTCAGGCTCTCAATCCAACCACCCATGGACTAGTAGGCTCATGGGTGGCACAGAGGTGGGGGCTGCTGTGCTCTGGGAGAAGAGACTAGCTCATGTGCTAACTGGGAAAACATCCCTTTCCCTGATGAGAGGATGCCAGTGAGCCCTTACTGGGTGGTAGAGCCCACTGGGATGTGGCCTAGGTGGGTAGGTAAGGCAGGCAGGGTTCCAGCATACCCTTTAAGTGATGAAGTAGCGAGAATGACACCACATTTGGTGTTCAGAGTCACAAGTCTGCATTCCAGCCTCAGGCAATTGCCTCAGCTTCACGGACCTCTGTTTCCTCGTCTGTAAATTAAAGCCATGGGGAAGATTCCATGAGGGAATAGTCTGAACGTTCTTTGTGGAGAATAAGACACTTGTGGAGGTGCCAGTGTGATGATTAACTTCCTCCTGGCCCTGGCTGATGTCCCCCTAGTTGTAGAAATTATAAAGGCAGGAGCTTTGAAATCAGAGAGAAATGCTGCCTTGGTACCTATCACTGCATACATAACACATTGCCCAAAAACTTCATGACTTAAAACAATAATTATTATTACTATCTCTCACTATTCTCAGTTCAGGAATTGAGAGCGGACACAGTAGAAGCAACTTGTCTCTTATCCACCATGTCTAGGTCCTCAGATGCCTGGGGGCTGGCAATAAATAACAAAACACCTGGCTTCAAGCCCTACATCTGTTGGCTGTGTGACCTTGGACAAGTCACCTAGTCTCTCTGAGCCTCAATTTCCTCATTGTAAAATGGAGATAAAAGTACAGCTAGGGCCTGCCTGTTATTTTTGTTAGAACTGATTGAGACCATGTGTGTGAAGCATCATCAATCCTCGGTACATGTCAATAAATAATCATAATGGTACTGTATCTGTTTTCTGTTCCTAGGGTGCCCCAGGAGACTTTGGCCCCAGGGTAAGAACTGAGCGTGGCCCCTTCACCTCCTTACACAGTGTGTTTTATGGTGTAATAAGACACATTAGAGTGTCTATTGGATCCTAGCTTCCTTATAGCTTATCACAGGAAACTATGAATGAGGGCACCCCTACTTCCTGCTCAGATTCTGTCCTGCTGCATGTCTTCAGTTAAATAGCCACTGTGTAGAAGCCCCAGGCATCTCAGTCTGGCTGAGGCTGCACCCCTACATAGATGAGGGTTCTTTGGCAGGATGTTCTGGTCATGTGATCTCCATGCACAAGTAGACATAGATTAACCAGCTATCCTCCAGGAAGAGTGAAGACTTTGGGGTCAGCAGGCTTGACCTCAAAGCTCAACTCTGCCACTTGCTCTTCCCCCTGAGACTCAGTTTATTCTACCATGAAAGGGGGTGATAGCTGCTACCCTAAATGGTTGTCATGAAAACTCATTGGAATCATATAAGTACGCCCCTGGCAGGGAACAGCGGACCAAGTCTCCTCTCAGCCCACCTGCTACCCTCAGCCCCTGGCACTGAGAGCCCTTGACCTCCAGCCCAGGAACATAGAAGTGCCCTGAGCTGAGCCTGGGATCTCCTCAAGGGAGGACTGGCCCAGAGTGGAGGGCCCCAAGTGGGAGGGAGTTTCTGGGGCAGGCCCAGCACAGACTCTTGGCAGAGGGTCACTTAAGCAGACCTGGACCTGTAGCCCCACCATGTCCACACAGCCCCACTTAGAGAGTGGTGAGAGGCCTGACAGCAGAGGTTGGGAGGTAGGACTTGGCTGCATGGCAACCAGAGAATGACATTCTCCCAGTTTGTAGGAAGATTGTGGATGGAAAGCGGAACTTAGGGTGAATGTCTTCTAATGGCGGAAGGCTGGAATGGGGTGGAGGGTTGAATGAGTCACCTACACCCCTTTAGATGGCACTTGCCTAAAACAGTCTGAGCCCCAAGGAAGACACTATAATGGGGGAAGGAGAAAAAAGGAAGACATTGCAGAGAGCCTGAGCTAGGTACCTGCCCCACTATGTGACCTCATGGTTCTGTGACTCAGGGACCTGTGTCCCTCTCTGAGCTCAGGTTCTGTGGAATAAGGAGAGTCAAACCTACATCATGGGGACATTGTCTGAGCTCCCACAGACAGAGGTTTTCTGTGCTGGGCCTTGGGTTGCAGGTGGGCCAGGGCCAGAGAAAGCCAGTGAGATTTCCCTAAAGTCAAAGAAATGGCACCTGGGCTGAGTTTCACGGCTGCTGAGGAAAATGTTTGCTTGCTTTCTGGTGGACATATCGACGCTCATCTCCCAAACAGGGAATAAACCAGAAGTAGTCCCCAAGCTCAGGTTTTGTCGGGGAGTAGAACCCCTCCCAAGTCCCTCTCCCTCTTCACTGACAGTCTCCCTAGGGTCCCAATGTTCCAGTTACCTGTGAAGCAACCCTCCAAAAGTTAAGCAACTTACAATAATAATTTATCATGATCTATGTTGACCTTCTGGGCTGCCTGGCATCTCTCATGTGGTTGCAGACAGACGGAGCTTGGGGCTAGAGTCATCTGAAGATCAGCCCATGGGCATCCAGAATGTTGGTGCCCTTACCTGGCCAGCTGTTGCCTGTGGGCTGAGCTGAGGAGCACCCACACGTGCCTCTCCGTGGCTCTTGGGCTTCTCAAGCATGGTGGCTGGCTTCCTAGAGGGAGCATCCAAGCAACATTCCAAGAGACAGAAACTGCCCAGCCAGAGTGGACACAGCATCACTTGTTCTGTATTTTACCCATCAAATGAGTCCCAAGGTCCACCCTGATTCAAGGGGTGGAGAAGCAAACCGAGCTCACATGGGGACAGGCAAGGTCACATTGTGGAAGAGACCATGGAATGGAAGATAGCTAATGATCATCTTTGTAGAATATAGTTGGCCACATCCAATCACCAAACTACTTTCCTTGAGCTGGGGTATGTGGCTTTGCCTCCAGAAATAATCTGTGGCTTTCTAAATCACCCTCCTGCCTTTCTAATCTCACAACCTGTTTGCCTGACCAGATGGTTTTTCCGTGGCTCCATCCAGGATATATAAGTAGAGACCATCATGCATACAATCTGCGTATCCTCAAGGTAGACTGGTCTCATGACGTGTCTGGCCTGCTGGTGTGCTGTGCTTCCCCCACTCACCCTCACACCTCCAGGGTAGACCTCAGCCATCCTGTCCCTGTGGGAGGAGAAGGCAGCTGGCTGGCCTCATTTTCCTTGTGACTCAGGGGAACAACCTAAGAACTTCTCCTAGGACCTGCCCAAGCCTCTATAACATTTTCTGCCTTAACAAATACAGTCCATCCCAGTAGTTCCCAACCTGGGGCACCTGGGCTGTGATAGGAGCAGTGAATGGGGGTAGGGGTGCAGTGTCTTCAAATTACTCCCAACACTCTGGGAAATGCAGTGGGAATTATCTACCCCCACCACCACCCCAAGGCTTGGTGACCCAAATGAACTCAGTTTTCTTTCCTTTTGACTAGAGTTTTATTTTTTTGGTCAGGACCCCAACCATTTCAGACTGATCAGAAGGTCTGATGGTCAATGTCTAGAGCTTTAGTCAATTTTTTTATTTGAGAAAAGAAGTTCATTAATTCGTAGGTGCAGTATGCTAGAGAGGCGAGTTCTTTCATATCATGAGGCCATGGATTGAGACTGTCTAAAAGAGGCCACTTGCCTCAGTGGCTCTGCCATTCCCAGCTCTGTAACCCCTTGCCATCCAGTTGATTCCGACTCATGGTGATCCCATGTGTGTTGCAGCAGAATGTGCCCCAGAGGGTTTTCTTGACTGTAATCTTTGTGGAAGCAGATTACCAGGCCTTTCTTCTGAGGCACTGCTGAGTGGGTTCAAATTACCAACTTTTTAGGTTAGTGGTTGAGCACAAACTTTGCAGCACCCAGGGACTCCTCCTAGCTCTATAACCCTGAGTAAATGATTACCTGCTCTGAGCCCTTGGCACTTCAGCAGTGAAATGAGGCCATAACAGCACCTCACAGGTCATCTTGGAGTTTGAGTAAGAAAACCTCCAGGAAGGCCTCACCCTTTCAGGGTGGCAATGACAGGGTTTAGCCCACGAAAGACTTCTTCCTTATGAGAAGGTGAGGGACTGTGGGCACTGTGGCTCAGCGTGCCCCTTTCCTGCACCTGTGCCAGTGCTGAGCAGGCACTGCAGGGCGGCAGGGAGGGGCTGGTCATGCCATGGTTTTCCCTCCACAGGTAAGGACTCTGGCTGCCTGAGGTCTGACCTGGTACTAACATGGGTCAGAGAGTTGGGGACTTAAGGTTGCATGACAGAGATTGTGTGAGCCTCTACTGCTTTTTTTTTTTTTCCCCTTATCTTTTTATTTTCAGATAATTATTAGATTCACAAGCAATTGTAGGAAACAATACCCCAGGTACCCTTCATTTGGTTGCCCCCAATGGTAAAATCTTGTATCGCTGTAGTATAATCTCACAAGCAGGAAATAGTTCTCCACTCTTATTCTGATTTCACTAGATTTCCATGCACTCATGTGTGTGTGTGTGTGTGTGTGTGTGTGTGTTTAGTTCTGTGCAATTTTGTCATAAGTGTAGACTCATATAAATACCCCCACAGTCAAGATACAGAGCGGTTCCATCACAAAGATTCTTCATACTTGTTGTTGTTGTTGTTGTTATGTGCCGTCGAGTCAGCCCTGACTCATAGCAACCCCTCCTTGGGTTTCCGAGGCAGTATCACTACAGAAATAGGATTGCCCAACCTTCCTTCCGAGGAGTGGCTGGTGGGTTTGAACCGCCAGCCGTCTGGTTAGCAGGCAAGTGTCTTAGCCACTATGCTACCAGAGCTCCCAAAAATCTGTATGTTGTTGTTGTTGTTATTTGCCATCGAGTCGGCCCCGACTCATAGCAACCCCCTCCTTGGGTTTCTGAGGCAGTATCACTACGGAAGTAGGAATGCCCAACCTTCCTTTCGAGGAGTGTCTGGTTGGTTTGAACCGCCAGCCTTCTGGTTAGCAGTCAAATGCCTTAGGCACTATGCTACCAGAGCTCCTTTCTTCATACTACCCTCTTATAAACAAACAAAAATAAATAAACTCGCTGCCATCAAGTCGATTCGACTCATAGCAACCCCTCCTTAGGTTTCCAAGGCAGTATCTCTATGGAAGCAGATTGCCCAACCTGCCTTCTGAGGAGTGGCTGGTAGGTCTGAACTGCCAGCCTTTTGGTTAACAGTCAAATGCTTTAGGCACTACGCCACCAAAGCCATCTCCCTCCTTCCCTGCTCTCTAACCTCTGGCAATCACTAATATGTTCTCCATCTCTATAATTTGGTTATTTCAAGAATGCTATATTAATAGCATACCAGAGTATGTAACCTTTTGAGATTGGATTTTTTCACTCAGCATCATTCATCCAAGTAGTCATGTGTATCAATAGTTTGTTCCTTTTTATTGCTGAGTAGTATTCCATAGTGTGGATGGACATAGTTGGTTTAACCATTCACCCATTGAAGGGCATCTGGGCTGTGTCCAGCTTCTAGCTATTATGAATAAAGCTGCTTTGATAAAACATTTATGTGGAGGCTTTTATGTGAATATAGGTTTTAAATTTGAGGGATAAATGCATGAGAGCACAGGAGCTGACCAGTCAGGATGGTTTTTCAGGAAGAGTGCTGTTCTGGTTACCTAGTGCTGCTCTGACAAGAAATATACCACAAATGGGATGGCCTTAACAAACAGGAGTTTATTCTTACAATTTGGAGGCTTTAAGTCCAAGTTCAAAGTGCCCAGCTCTAGGGGCTGGGTGAAAGTCCCTCAATCTTGGGGTCCAGCTCTGCCTCCTGCTCCCGGCTCACTGGAGCTGGAGGTGTTTCTTCACTCAGACAGCTGCTGGCTGCTGAGACTGAGAAGCCCCAGAGTTGACAAGTAAAAAGGCACAGTCCCGATATTACCAAACCACATGGCAGGCCATTAACTTAAGTCTATTGTAAGTCCCAAGATCAGCAGAACATGGCAGCCTGCTAAACAATGACACGGCTACATGCAGGGTCCAAGCGTGCCATAGGCTAGAGACCATTCTCAAAGCTTCTCCTTATATACAGGAAGCAGACCACATACCCAGAGGCAGCTACTCAGCTGCTCACAGTAGATTCCACCATGGAGTTGATTACCAGTCTCATCATGGGGAATACTACATCCAGCTGCCCAGCCACTCAACCAGGCCCAGCCAAGTTGACAAAAAAACATAACCACCACCAGTGCAATCCCCTTTCTGGAAAGGTGGGGGCTGACTGGGCTCATGTGCTTTCTCCTACCTCCACGGTGTGGCATCTGGGGCTTCAGGCATTAGTGAGCTGCAGAGTTGGCACATTCCTCAGAGTGGGAAAGGTCTTGTTGGCCTCTTATACCAAGGTGTTGGGACCTCTGCCTTGGTGTGGCCACCAAGAAGTGTCAAGAGGCCCAATGACAAAGCCCTGCCCCATGGGCTGGGGAAGATACAGGGGCTGTCCATCTGAGGAAACCTCTCTTTGAGACTGGATCCCTACCCTTCACCCTCAAACTCATGCCAGGCCCTATGTTTTCTAGGGAGACCAAGGACAAGATGGAGCTGCAGGACCTCCAGGGCCCCCTGGGCCCCCTGGAGCCCGGGGCCCTCCTGGTGACACTGGGAAAGATGGCCCCAAGGGATCACAAGGCCCAGAGGTAAGAATGAGCATGGAGTTGGACCACCCAGGACCTGGTCCTGTACCAACCAAAACTCAAAACACTGACCCAATAACCAACCCCAACCCTAACCCCAATTCAGATCCTACCCCTGATCCCAGCCTCAATCCCAATTCAGATTTAACCCCAACCCAGACCCTTACCCCAGTCAAACCTTGAATCTAACACTAACGAGGTCCCTAACCCAGATCCAACCCTAACCATAACTGTAATCCCAACTAAGACAGTGACCTCAAACTTAGTCCCAAATCTTGATCCATACCCCTAATTCATACTGTTTTCCAGACCCAACCCTGACCTCTACACTCTGTAACTCTGACACTAAAACCAACTCTAAGATCAACACCCTAACCCCAACAGACCCTAACCCTGCCCTTAGTTGCAATTTTAATCCCAACCCCAATCCTGACCCTGAGACCCATATACAGGTACTTTCTCTGAAAGTCTTTACCAACTCCTATTCCTGTGTCTCTCTGCCTCTTACTCCCTCAATTCCTATGGCTCTTTCTCTCCTCAATCCCAATTTGTTAGCATCAGTTCCTCTCCCATATTCCTAACCCAAATCCTGGAACCCAGACCTCCTTCCTTTGGTAACTCATGTTGGAGTCAACCTGTCCTTCCCATCCAGTGCAGAGCCGGCACTTCCACCAAGTTGCCAACAGGGGGCCCGTCTCAAAGCAGCTGCTCAATTCGCTCATTCCTTACCCATGGAAGCTCTGAGCCTCAACTTTCTCATTTGTAAAATGGGGATGATAATATCATATCTGCTTTTGGGGCGGTTTGGTGAGGAGGAAGTGAGAGTGTTTGGACCTAGAACCCCAACAGGGTTGGGCACACAATCTGGGCTCAGTAAATGTGAAATGCTAGCTTCCCCTCTTTGCTAACATCTTATGCCTCCCAGGGTCCGAAAGGAGAGTCCGGACAAGACGGCGAGATGGTCAGTATCATTTCAGAGGCCTCAGATGTCACACCATGGTTCCCAGACACGGAAGCCCCTTGCCCCTACACACTCACCCGGCACTGGGTGGGCATGTGTGTTCCCTCCCTGTTTCTTCCCCTCACGAGCGGTGGGGAAATGCACGGGCAAGGTGCCAGCCCTGGTAGGATCAAATAGCATCTATGAGGGGGGTCGTCAGGCCTGGGGCTGGTGGCACGATCCTGATTCCCACATGGCAGCTCTGCCTCCACCTCCCGGGGACCTGGTTTCCCTCTTTATCAAATGAGCATCACCATAAAGACAAGCCCAGGAGCCCCTTTGAGTATGACGTTTAACCCCTTCTGTTCTCTTACTCCAGGGCCCGAAGGGACCCCCGGGGCCCAAGGTGAGTACTCCTCACTCTCCAGCCCCCTAACCAGGCCTGGGCAGACAGGTGGACTCCCTGACCATCATCACTGAGGCCAAAGCAGCAGGGTTGGGAGATAGAGCTCCAATCCCAGCTGTCAGCTGTGACCTTCAGGCCAGTCACTTCATCTCACTGACCTCAGGTGTCTTATCTGTTAAATGTGGGCATGATAAACCCTTCCTCATCTTCAGACATGGTTGTAATGATGGAATAATCAAACAGGTCAGCTTTTTAATTTTTTTTTTTTTTTTTTAATTTTTGCAATGTCCCTTCCCCTCCCCTCCTACCCCTGGTAACCAACAAAGAAAGTTTCCTTCCATATATAAAACTTTGCTTGGCTTTTTACAATAATGAGCTAATTCATTATTTGTCCTTCTGTGATTGACTTATTTCATTCAACATAATGTCCTCCAAGTTCTTCAATGTTTTGCAGTGTTTTGCAGATTCTATGTTATTCTTTAGCATTGCATAGTATTCTGTTGTGTGTATGTATCATAGTTTGCTAGCTTTTTTATTTTTAATTTTGTGGTCAAGCATGTATAAAATAAAATTAGCCTCCTTAATTATTTTTAAGTGCTCAATTAAATTCAGTGACGTAAGTACATCCACAATGTTATGCAACCGTCCTCACTGTCCAGTTGCAAAATTTTTCTATCACCCTAAACAGAAACTCAGTACCCCTTAAGCAATAATTCCCATTCTCCCTCCCCCAGCCCTTGGTAAACTCTAATAAATTTTAGTTTCTATGCATTTGCCTTTTCTAGACACTTCATATAAGTGGGATCACATATTTGTCCTTTTGCGTCTGGCTTATTTCACTCATCCTAATGTTTTCAAAACATGTCAGCTTTTAAAGCCCTCTCCAGATGTCAGCTCTCTCCTTTCCTCCCTCCTTGAGCAACATCTGCTGGGGTGGGAAGTGAGGTCTAGGTCCTGCATGGAGGATCAGGAGCCCCTGGACTGAGGAAGAGGGAAGGAGAGGCAAGAGCTCCATTCCCTGCACAACTACATGTCTCACAGACATGGCCTTTCAATGTGTCATCTCTGTAACCTTCACAACCATCCATTGTCAAGACAGGAAGTGATTTGTCCAGGGTCATTCCAATTTAGGAGTAATGAAACCTCAAGAGTTGAATCCAAGACTCTCTGAGGGGCCCAGGAGAATGGGCTGGTCTGTGTATGGGTGCCACTTCTCCCAAAGTGGGAAGCCTGGGATCTGGGCCTTGCTCCAATGACTATAACCTCTCTCTTCTGGTCTGTTGTCTTCCCTCAGGGTGAGCCTGGTGTTCCTGGAAAGAAGGTGAGGGGGCCCTGAAGAGGAGCTTTTGTTGGCTGGGATGGCAGGAAGTGGTTGGAGAGAAGGACAGGCACTGGGGGAGGGGGGATGAGTATGGGGCCACCCTGTGGAGAAGCCTCCCTTTTCTTTACCAAGCCCAAGTCCTCACTGTGGGCTGGATACCCTTCAAGTTGGCTGTCCTGACCTATGGCTCAGGGAGGTCAGAAACTCATTCATTTATTCACTCATTCATTCATTCTTTGCCACCTTCAAACACATCCAATTTGCTCCTACGTCAGAGCCAGAAACAAATGGTTCTCAAAATGTGGTTCCCAGACCAGCAGCATCAGCATCACCTGGAAATCTATTAGAAATGCAAATTTTCAGGCCCACTCAACACTACTGAATCCAGAACTCTGGAGGTAGGGCCAGTGGTCTGTGTTTACCAAGCCCTCCAGGTGATACTGATGTTTGTTCAAGTTTGGGGACCACCAGACTGAACTGGAGTAACCTTCCCCACCTCTTCCCATGGCCCAATCTTCTCCTCACTCAGAACCCAGCAAAACTGTCCCCTCCTCAGGGAGGCCTTCCCAGGCCACTAACAGAAACAAACCCTCCCTAGTCCCTTTCTATCTCACCATCCTTTCCTACTTTCTTCCTGATACTTACTCTGCTTCCTGACATGCACTGTGTATCTATTTGAATATTTCTTCCCCACTGGCCTCCTCTGACCCCAATACCAGTTCTATCTAAGCAGGGACCTCATCTACTTGGCCTGCAGGGTGTGCTCACAAAATACTTGTTGACTGAATGAATGAATTAACTCGCTCCTTTACCTGTCCATTCATTCATTCTACGAACACTTCCTGAGGCTGGCCTTGGGCTGGTGGGGCAAGGGCTCAGGCCCTACCCCTGCCCTAGAGGGGTGAGAAGGGAAAGGAAAGCCTGTCCCTGTGTGCCAGAGGAGGGAGGGACCAGCTGAACACCAGAGGATCCTGGAAGGTCCTCCAGAGTAGAAGGCAGTTGAAGTGAGTAGAACAGGAGGAGAAAGCAGCATGGGCAAAAGGAACAGCATGTGCAAGGGTGCAGAGGCCCAGCACAGCCTGGCCTGTTTGTAGAGCAGGGAACAGTCAGGTACTGCAGGGGCCTGGCCTCGGGGGGAGACAGGGGGCAGGCGAAGGACAGAACATGAGGCCAGAAAGGTCTGAGCACTAGTCATGAAGGGCCTGAATACCAGGTGGAAGAGTTGAGACAGTGGGCAGTAGGGAGCCACAGAGGGTTTTTGAGGGAAAAAAACATGATTCTTAATGAGAGAAGAGCCACGGTAGAGAGAAGCAAGAAGCAGCTTTGTTCAGGATGGGATCCCGCTCCCCAACCCTGCTCCTTAGCTAGGCTTTCTGAAAACCGCTTGTGGGAGGCCTGTGTCAGGGATGTCCCAGCCAAGGGCGTGGGGGTTGGGGGAGGGAGTCAGGGGGTGAAATCACAGGCCGAGGGCTGTGGCCTCAGCTGCTCTCTCCTCAGGGAGATGATGGGACACCAAGCCAGCCAGGACTCCCTGGACCCCCAGGGCCCAAGGTAGCTGCATGCCCTGCCCCCCTTGGTCCCCTGCCTCCCACCTCCCAGGGATACCTTCTGTCTGGTAAACCCCGTCTCCTGGGCCCTTTTTAAGCACAGGTGATGGGCTGGTGCCCGGGGCAGGCCAGGGAGAAACAGCAGGAGGGCCTGGGTCTGCTCACTCACCAATGGGCTGGCATCATATCCAGGACACTCACCCTTCCCACACCCTCAGGTCCTCCTGGGTCCCATCTCAGATGGTCCCACTCTGCCCTGTCCCCAAGCCAAGAACTGGAGTTTCATCCTTGCTCCTCACCCCACCTTACCCCTTGCAATGGCCATCAAATCCTGGCCAACATGCCTCCAGAACAAGCCCATGAGCTGCCCCAACTCTGCACCAAGACCCAAAAGGGAAGGTGGTGGCTGTGTCTTGAGTACCCTGGGCTGGGAGAGCCCTGAAGTCCCCTCCCCCAAGAAGGCCTACTTGAGACATCCTGAGAGCCAGACAGTCCCCTCCCCAGCCCCCAATGTCCCACATGCTTGAATGTTTGTTCTCACATGAATGTCTCTGCTTTAGGGCGAGCCAGGGAGCATGGGGCCCCAAGGACAGAATGGCATGGACGGAGCCCCTGGCCCAAAGGTGACACAGAGTACAGAGTGTGCTACTCCTTGCCAGCAGGACCTGCTCAGACCCTTTTAAGTGGAGAGTCTGGGCAAGGCTGGTCCTCTTGCATTCCCAATCAGAGCTAGCCAGGGGGGAGGGAGGGAGGCAGCAGTGAATCTGGTTGAGTGAGAAGGCTCCATCTGCCCAACTGACTGGGAAGCATTGGGGAAGGTGTGGAACTTCCTGGGCCTCAGTGTCCCCCTCTCCATACAATGTGGATCAGAGGAGAAGGTCGCTGAGGTCCCTCCCACTGAAGCTCCAGAAGTTCCCTTGCTTGGGTGTCATTCAAGGAAATGAGACTGTTAGGGCTCCAGCAAGTGGCCCTTTGGGAAAGAGAGGGTCTGGGGCAGAGTAGGGATGGGAATTTTTGGCTTCAGCCATGCACTCAAGTAGTTGCAACTGCATGTTTCCACAGGGAGACCCTGGCCATCAAGGCATGGATGGAGCTGCAGGGCCCCGGGTAAGCAGCCTCCCACTGGGCCCCATGGCTTTAGAAGCCCCTGTCCCATGAAGACCCCAAAGGATGGAAAGGGGAAGTAGCCCAGGGAAGGGAAGCTATAGCAACAGGAGTCTTTTTCTTTTTAATAATTCATTAGTAACTGTCACCTAGAATAGTGGGTGCCTTTTTTTTTTTTAACCCCACAGCAAGGTTCATTCCTGTTGCTGGCAGCACAGTGGCCAGGTTCCAGCTTGTGGCTGGTCCCAGATCATTTCT